TCAATATACATTATTATTATTTAAATATATATATTATACATAAATATAATATACATATTATAATATCATATATAATATATATATAATATTATATAGATATTTAAAACTATAGACGTATACAATAATATAAAAGTATATTCTTAATAATAAATTATTCAGCGATCTAAATGTTATTACCAATATTTTACCTAATGTAATTTTATTGTGTTATAATACGTGTATCTGTGTTATTGTGTATAGCTTGTAGTTGCACTATCCACGCTAACACAGTAAAATCTATACTACATATAATATATAATACACACATCAATATATTATATATACATACACAGCTACACAGTACACTACCACAACTACACAAACATATAATATATAATATATTATAATATTATATACTATTAACAGTAAAATATAATATATATATATTATATAAACAATCTACTTCTTCAGCTATTATGCTAATACATGGATCTTAAGATAATAATATTATAGTATATATTATGAATAATCATATTAATATATATATACTATATTATAGTTAAGATACTAATATATGTTATTTATAGTTTATATGTATATATATGTATATGTATATACTGCTATTGATATTATTAAATATATATTTAATATAATATCTAATATTATCAATAATATATATATTAAAATATCATATATATAATTAATACACATTAATATATATAACATAATAATATACACACATATTATATACACTCACAACAGTATTATATTACTCACAACATATATTACACTAACACATATATATAAAAACACACATATATATATATTCACACACTATATATATATTCACACAAATATAATATATACACACACATATATTATATTCACACACAACACATTAGTATAAGAATATATTATATTATATAATCATTAAATATTTACTATTATTATAAATTATTATATATATATATTAGGTATATTACACGACACACACACACACACACACACACCTACACACCAACAACATTTATATAGTAACTGATATATATATAACATAAACAAGTATGATATTATACTTATATATATGTGTGTGTGTGTGTGACATAAAACCGTATAGATATATATAGTGTGTGTGTGTTATAGACTAATATATTCTCATAATAAAAAATAAATATATTATAAATTATATATTATATATATAGGTATTAATATATATAATATATTAATATAATATATAACAAATATATATATAATATAACATTAAAATATATAATATAGAATATAGTGAGGTAATATTACCATATATATACACAATTAATACTCTATATATTTACACGATATAATATTATACATATATATAGATAGATAGTAATTACATATATCATATAGTGAATATTTAA